TTGGGCCTCATGGAGTTGTGACCTTCATTGTCATTTTGTAGGATATTTTAAAAAATTGTATGGAGTGCTGGTTTGGTATTCATGAAGTTTCTCAGGTGTTCTTTATCATGGAAGTATCTTATTTCCCCATCAATTTTGAAAGATAGTTTTGCAGGATACATAAGTCTAGGTTGGAGTTTGTTTTCTTTTATGGCTTGAAATACCTCACTCCAGGCTCTCCTTGACTTGGAGATTTGTGTTGAAAAGTCTGCTGTGATTCTGATAGGCTCTCCTTTGCATGTGATTTGTTTCTTTTCTCTCACTGCTTGTAGTATTTTGTTCTTCAGTGGGTTTCTGGGATTGTGATTATTATATGTTTAGGTGTAGATTCAGCCATATTGTAGCCTGAATCACTTAAAATTTTGTGAGAGAGAAAGCCACTCTGTGGTTTTTCTACAGATGATTTTATGCTTCTCCAAGGGCTATACTGGTAATGGCATGCACGGTACACAGAAGTCTAAGGTGTTGAAATTCCCCAGCTCTTGAGCTAAAGAGGATGACATAGTGAGGAGGAGATGGCGAAGAGTAATGAAACTGAATTAAACCAATTTCAGCATTTTCTGGCTCTGTGAGATAGATATAGTGAAACCCAGTCCCAGATAGCTCTGAATTGCTTTTCCATGTTTCTTTCTATGTATATTGGAACTTTAAAAAAATATTTTCTCATCTAAACAGTGTTGTTCTACAGTATATGCTTCACCTGAAATATGTTCCATTTTCTTTTAGCTCTGTCTGATGTGGAGATCTTGGCACAATCAATTATCTTTATTTCTGCTGGCTATGACACCACTAGTAACACTCTTTCTTTCATTATGCATATGTTGGCCACTCACCCTGATGCCCAGAAGAAACTGCAGCAGGAGATTGATACAACCTTGCCCAATAAAGTGAGTGTACAGTACATGGAAGGAGAGGGAAGAAGTCTGTACTGAGGAAGCAAAGCTCCTCATCACTGGCAATAAGAATTTTTCCACACAGAGTCAGTGTTGATTCATTCACCAGGACTATTTATAAGTATGCAGGACCCAAAGTTCGAAACAAGGGGTGAAACATAGGAAATGAATGCTATTTTGAGGAGACTAAGAACTTCGGAATACAGTGCTGGTCCTGGCATATCCATTGTCTGTTACCACAGTAGTGCTAACATCTCCATGTACCAGTGAGCTTTCATTGTTCAAGTGTCTAGGTAGAGATCTCTGCTGCTATTGCTGGATGTCCATGGCCTGGCTGTTGGCTGAGCAAGATTAGCTTTGACTGTGCTGGGTAGGCTGACTCAGCTCTGTTTAGACATCCTCAAACTCCAGTTGTGTAGTTGTGTAGCTAAACATAAGGAGGCCAAAATATGATCTAGATTTTTGGCTCTGAGACAAAGTCTTAATCTCTACACTGTACCCTGTCCAATGTCATAGCAGGTGAGAATCACATAGTAGCTACACTATCTTCAAATCTCTTTCCAAATGGGGAGGCTGTGTAGTGTGAGGATAAGTGGCTTCTGGGGTTGGCATGGCTGGCTTGGCAATGAGGTGAACACAGAGCATCTTCTTCAGAGCTCACAGCAAATCTCTGAAGCCCCAACCAGGAGACAGGTCAAGCAGCCAAGAATGGGGCTGAGTATAGGTTCCTGACCTCCTTCAGACTTTCACTAGAATTAAAATTATCTGCCCTAGTAGCATCCAATCAAAAGTTCTCTTTGTCATAATGGAATCAAAACAAACTAGCTTCTCCCTCAAATTATTTATAGAGTATTGGTTTAAATTGTATTTCTGTCCAAATATTTTGTACATAATGAAAGGAGTTAATAGCAGATGTTGTGAATTAAAAAGCTTGATATAAGCT